CTATGACTTGCTAGACAAAGGCGAGATTTCCGTGGTTGCTGCCGAGGAATGAATATATCGAAAAACTTCTGAAAATTTTCCTTATGAATATTTCGAGACAATTGTGATTTTAAATCCAAATTAGTTGGCTCTTGAACAGGACACTAGCTCTTTATGTTTGAGATTTATATTCCAAATAATTCTTTTGTGATTTACAAGGACCACATAGCTGCTGCTTGATTTGATATGCAGAAATGGGGAAATATTTGAGATTTTTGCTCCGTTGCCTTTTGGTTTGTGCTTTGTGGTTTGTGGGTTTTACGTTTTATGTTATATGGGTGTGAGTGTCTGTGTGACTGAGTTTGCTTACGAAATTGGAAGGGTAAATTCGAATTTTCAGGTTGGTATTTTAATTTATAACTATTGAGATTTTGTTGTGAAAATTTTTCCTATTATTTCCATGTTTAATTTATTTATTTATTATTATTATTATTATTATTATTATTCAATAATTTTACGCTATTAAAATAGTTGTGAAATATGTGAATGAAAACAACCTATTAAAATAAAATGAAATACAAGAATAAGATTTGCAGTCATTTTTTTTTTTTTTTTTTGCTTTTAAAGTTACTAAACATACAGGTAAATAACAAACAGAGTTCCGATCAATAAAAAAAAGAGGGAAAGAAAATAGAAAGACAACCGCTCCAAACCTAGGAATTTTGCAACACAAACGCCCACTTCGCCAAGTTATGAGCCACCACATTCTGGTCCTTGGCACATGATCGCATCGACTTCAATTGAGGGAAAAGAGGAGGGCTCTAATATCGTCAAACACTCCAAGCAGTAGATCGAGATTATCTTGGTGGGAAATACCACTGACGACTCCCGAAGAGTCCGTGAAAACCGACTGAAGATTTAAGTCTAAGTCCATAGTAATTCGTAACCCATGTCGAATAGCTAAGGCTTCCGCCAGAAGAGGGGAAAAAGAACCCGTCATAGGGACAATAAAGGCGGTCATACAAACTCCTGTAGAATCTCTGATCCATCCACCTAGTCGATCTCCGAGTCTCGAACTGCCGCATCAGAAAGCAATGTTCAATAGTTGTTGCAATTTCCTGACCCTCTCCAGAGTGCTATAGAATCCAAATTTGGGCGTAGTCAATTTAAAACCCAAATATAACCAAATCATTTTTCGAAAAAACTAATTACCAATCTTAATTCATCCAGGGAGTTTCATGTAATTGTGCTCTTTTTCATTGCTATTGTTCTGTTTTTCTTTTTCTGGCTTGTCAACAAAGAAACACTAATATCCTTTAAAAAAAATGAGATAAAAACTCAAATCCCTACAAAATAAAAGTTTGAAGACTTGAGAAAGAGAGCAAAAGAGTACTGAGAAACCAGCTGCAGAAAATCTGGTAAAGGGAAAAAATGAGCAGCATAGGCACCGGCTATGATCTATCGGTGACCACATTCTCGCCGGACGGCCGCGTTTTCCAGATCGAATACGCGGCGAAAGCCGTCGACAACAGCGGCACCGTGGTCGGCATCAGATGCAAGGACGGGGTTGTTATGGTACGCCGGCCAGAATTTTCGAACTCGACGTTTTTCTTTTCTTCTTTTTATTAGGGTTTTGAATAGGGTTTTTGATTTTGCTTATCGTGTTGATTGTAGGGAGTGGAAAAGCTGATTGCTTCGAAGATGATGCTGCCCGGTTCCAACAGACGAATCCACTCCGTCCATCGGCACTCTGGAATGGTATCATCTCTTTCCTCGTCCGTACTTTGCTTTTTGTGAGGGGAAAATTTGTACTTTTTTTTTTTTGGTGCGTGGAAGATTTGTTATGGAAATATTATTTGTCTAGAGTTCAGTGATTGATCTTTGAAGGATGGATTTAGTTTTTCATTGTTGTCAAACACGATGCCTGAATGCTGTTTCCGGTTACGTGAAACTGATACTGGTTGATTTTCGTGAAGGATGCATTGTTTGGTGTTCTAAAATGAAGGTGGGAGTCTTGCGAAGAATTGGCTGAATGTGTGCTAAAATTGAGCTGCATAGATTTACTTCATGGTTGAAAAGCCATGGGGAGGCCTTGAAATGTGACTGCCCTCGTGACTATTTTTGTCCTGAAATAAATTTATTTAGTTGAGTAATTGGTTGGTCTTGATAAAGCATGGTTTTCATAGTTCTCAGAAATGAGAACTTGCCTTTGGCACCAAATATTGGCAAGTTTTAATGAATCCGATCTTGTATTGAGCTAAGTTAGTGGATTGTATCTGGACTTCTTCATTTTGCCTTTTCCCCATTAGAAGATTGGGAGGCAGTATAAACCATGAAGATGTGGAGATAATTTTGTGTTCCATAAAGCACCTGATTCTTTGTAGAAGGTCAAGGTATTAGGAAAGGATTGGGAGGCAGTATAAACCATGAAGATGTGGAGATAATTTCGTGTTCGATAAAGAACCCGATTCTCTGTAGAAGGTCAAGGTATTAGGAAAGGTCAAAGTCTTACTGAAATTACAGATATATTTATCCGATGGCAAGCTAGCCATTTCATTTACCAATGTTTCCTGGTGTGTTTGTTATAGAAAACTAAGTTAAAGCAGCAAAGTTGAAACTGGCTCGTAAGCACCTGGGCCAGCTTTGACAAGACTACATAACCTTAGTCTGTCACTTCAATTCAACATTTTATGAGCTTTTTGGGAGAACCAAAATTGTGAATAGTTCTCCTTCAATTCAGTCCTTACCTTGTGATTTCCTCTGAGAATGTAAATCAGTGAAATGGACTGAGTCTTGTAAGAATTAAGTGAAGTGCTTACTGTTCAGGAAGTAGATATAGTCAAGGTCAGAGTAGAAGGAGGCTCATGTTTAAGTCTTCTATCGAGATAAAGAGATTGAAATAAGTTGTTAGTACCAAGGGAGGGATATATTTAGTGAGTTCACTCCATCCAATAAACATGCATTTATTGTGATTTTTTTGTTAATCAAATTCTGAACAATGCTGTAATGTTTTTTTTTTTTTTTTTT